TGATCTCATCAAGAGCGAGAATCTTAATGGTGTGAGGTCTTCATTAATAAAGACCCCTCTCATTCCATCCTTCCGCTTCAACCGAAACCGTCCATCGTAGAGACGGTCTCGCTTTCTCCGCGAAATAAATCGAACAATGGCCTGCCTGCTCCTCCATTCCTTCTCTCTTCTTCCCGAGCCGATGACACGAAGAAATATCGGTCTGCTGGATGTCGACACCGACCTCCCTGGCGACTTCGCAAACCCTCTCCGCAAGAGCATCTTCCGACTCCTCCTCGTTCTCCTCCAGACCAGTCAGCCGCAGGTTGTCCCTCCTCTGTTCTTGCATTATTTCGTCCTGCTTAAACTGCAGACGCAGCAGGTGTGGGTTGACTGCCTCCTTAAATCTTGAAAGGCAGGCTTCTCGCACCGCCTGGATGATAGTCGGGAGTGCAGCTTTAACAGCGGTGGAGACCGCAGTTACAACCAGCTGGGCGATGTCATCCCGAGACTCACTCCCAACCCCCCTAAGCTCTTCCAACAACCCTTCAAATTCAAACTGGATCCCTGCACTCGCCTCATTCGAGCCCCCTAGATTAGAGCTGGTTTCTTCCACAGCTGCCATTCCTCTCTTCTCCTTCACTGCCTGGTCAACTCCCACGTGGGCAGTAAAAGGTCGTTAGGCCGTTGGAATGTGGCCTTGTGTTTTGGAGCTTGGCAAAAAATGTCCAGGCATCTTGTTCTTACTGTTCCTTGTTTGAGGCATCTTGTGTGTGTTAATATGGTGGCCCTGAAGGGACATCGCGAATAGACTAAATCGCGAAAAATTGGCGATAAAATTCACGATATCGTCAATTTTATCGCCAATTGTTTACGACGAAATTCACGAAATTGACGATATCGTGAACTTTATCGTGAACTCTTCAGGATGAAATTGACGATTTCGTCAATTTTATCGTGTACTCTATCGTGTACTTTATCGTGTACTCTCCTGGCGGGCGCTTCGTAAACAAAACCAGCCCTAGCTTGATTGAAGACGATTATTATGACGAGACGTTTTTACGATGATTTCTGTGAAAATGGTAGGTTTAACTTCATATTATGCTCTAGATCTATTGGTATTTGTATTTGTATTTTATGTTTGACAAGATACCCAGATAGCAAAATATCTGGGGCCCATCTGGGTGTATACCAGATGTATACCAGATGGGCCTTCCCACCCAGAACCCACACATATGGGCCCCATGTGGGCCCCATGTGGGTTTTTGTTTGTGAAAATCGCACGTCGAACATCGGCTGGGCCCAGCTAAAAACCAGATGTATACCAGATGGGCCTTCCCACCAAGAACCCACAAGTACCTACACATATGGGCCCCATATGGGCCCCATGTGGGTTTTTGGTGTTAATAATCGCACGTCGAAGATTGTCTTCACCCAGCTGAAAACCAGATGTATCCCATATGGGCCTTCCCACAAAGAACCCACAGGTATACGGAGCCCACGTGGCCCATTTAAAAACCAGATGTATACCAGATGGGCCTTCCCATCCAGAACCCACAAGTACCAACACATATAGGCCCCATATGGGCCCCATGTGGGTTTTTGGTGGTGATAATTGCACGTCGAAGATTGTCTTCACCCAGCTGAAAACCAGATGTATATCAGATGGGCCTTCCCACCAAGAACCCACAGGTATACGGAGCCCACGTGGCCCATATAAAAAACAGATGTATACCAGATGGGCCTTCCCATCCAGAACCCACAAGTACCAACACATATAGGGCCCATATGGGCTCCATGTGGGTTTTTAGTGGTGAAAATCGCACGTCGAACATTGTCTTCGCCCAGCTGAAAACCAGATGTATACCAGATGGGCCTTCCCACCCCAAACCCACAAATATATCCCATCATTTGCATAATGAGTATGGGGTGCGTGCACATCTATGTTTTTTAACAATTCATCTAAATTTACAGGATATTTCTTAATTACTGATGATTTAGTTATTTGCAATTCATTTCGAAAATACTACTAAATGTAAATTGCCAATTATTAGGAAATTTCACTACTTTGTTTAAATTACATTTAATTAAACATGAATTACAAAAAACACTAACTATAATCTAAAACAGATTCAATAAAATACAAGTATATGGAAATGTCTTATCACAGTAAATTAACCAAGTCTTCTGAACACCAATGCCTTTACATTGGAAATGTTAGGCGATGTGTTGTTGCCATTGACCAAATTAATTAGTACAAGTGCTACATAACCTACTAATTATGTCTGCTAAATGGAGCTTTCAATCAGTGGTTGAAAGTTGTGCCAAATGGTACGACTGGTCCAGTTAAACCCAACTGGTAACCCTGGAAATTGAAATGGGATAAATGAATTCAACTGGAAAAAATAGGAACCCATTTAAACAATATGAAGCCCATTTAAAACCACATTGGCCCATATGGGACCAGATCAAACCCACTTGGCCCATATGGATCCCATATAAAAACCCGCTTATAGCCCATATGGGGCCCATATAGAACCCACTTGACCCATATATAGAATGTGGTAGGTCCCACATAAAACCCACATATGGCCCATCTGGTGCCCAATAGGTAACCCTTGTGCATATTGATGGGCCAATTGTGGGGTACATCTGGGTTTTACGTGGGCCCATCTGGGCCAAGTGGGTACAATCTGGGCCGCCCATCTGGGGCCCTTCTATAACCCGGGTGCAGATTGCTGGGCCCCACATGGGGCCTATCTGGGACCCATCTGGGCCAAATGGGCCAAGTGGGCAAGAGATGGGCTGGCCCATCTGGGCCAAGTGGGCCAGCCCAGTTGTAACCAGATAAAACCCAGATGGGCCCCACAACATTTTGCTATCTGAGTAGGGATAAAAGTAATTGCACAGCGGAAAAATTACACGGTAGACTATCCAATTAATGGTCTAAATGCACTCAATGTATTTTCCCATACACATTCATTTCCATGTTTTAATATCTATTGAGTAATGTAATTGATCTAGATGATAGATCTAGGCCTACTTTTATTAGTAGGCCCACGTACTAGCACACTCAATTTCTCAAACTGAGTCAACAAAGACTGACAGAGTCGATGTAGAACTAATACTAACTAATAGGTAGCAGCGGCTAGCAGAATATTACTAGTAGTAGCATTCTAGTGCACTAGCTGCAGCAGTGCAGGCTATATAGAATAATGCATGATTGTATGAATACACCAGTTTACCGTTGTGTGAGCCCTTTTAATCAAAGCCAATGGCCTAGAGGTCATGTATTTATGCGTAAATTAAGATTGCGCATATGCAAATTATGATGAAAAAAAGACGTTTGTTTATGCAGACGATCCTCATTTTCGGACCAGCGCCCCTAATCATGTCATAAAATAACCCTTACAAAAAAAAATCTCTATGGTACACCATACAAACACCATAGCAAATCTACCATAGATTACCATACAAACACCATAGCAAATCTACCATAGATCTACCATTTATTTACCATAGAACTAATTAAAATAATTGGGAAAAATGTATTCATTTATTCAAATTAGGCCACACCTACGTATTCTACCATAGAGCCACCATAGAGTCATCATTCATCTACCATAGAGCCATCATTCATCTACCATAGAGCCACCATTCATCTACCATAGAACCACCATTCATCTACCATAGAGCCATCATTCATATACACTGTCGCTCATAAAGGTGGAATATTTTGTTTTACCCCAATTTATGGAATTATTTTAAAAATAATTTAAAAATAATAGATCTAGATAATAGTTTACATTCTCAGATTTTATTGAATAATAATTTGCCAATGTGTGTTTTGCGTGACTGCTAAAGCATGTGTATACTACTATGCTTATCAACTAGGGGACCTATGCCCTTAAGTCATAACATGACAGTAATGAGGATTAATGCCCCACAAAAGGGCACTAATATAGCACATCGACACGGTTTTGATCCTGGGGCCTCACAGTTACGAGGCCATTGCTTTGTCACTCAACCGTGACTGTACGCAGCGGAGGCTAGGGTAGGGGGCAGTTTCCATAAATAAAAAAAAACACAGAAAATGCAATAAATTTTCAATAATTTGTTGCATGTTACCCCGGTCCCCAACATAAACAAATCTTCTGTTTGCCCATGCCTTGAGCCATAATGCATGACTGTCCAGAGGATTTTTTTATGTTGGGGACCGGGGTAAAATGCAATAAATTATTGAAAATGTATTGCATTTTCTGTGATTTTTTTTATTTATGGAAACTGCCCCCTACCCTAGCCCCCGCTGCGTACAGTCGTGGTTCAGTGACAAAACAATGGCCTCGTAACTGTGAGGCCCCAGGATCAAAACCGTGTCGATGTGCTATATTAGTGCCCTTTTATGGGGCATTAATCCTCATTACTGTCATTTATGACTTGAGGGCGTAAGTCCACTAGTTAATTAGCATAGTAGCATACACATGCTTTAGCAGTCCCGCAAAACACACATTGGGAAATTATTATTCAATAAAATCTGAGAATGTATACTATTATCTAGATCTATTATTTTTAAATAATTTTTAAAATAATTCCATGAATTGGGGTAAAACTAAAATATTCCACCTTTATGAGCGACAGTGTACCATAGAGCCACCATTCATGTACCATAGAGCCACCATTCATCTACCATAGAGCCACCATTCATCTACCATAGAGCCACCATTCATCTACCATAGAGCCACCATTTATCTACCATAGAGCCACCATTCATCTACCATAGAACCACCATTCATCTACCATTCACTACCATTCAAAATATGCAACAAAATGTTACGCTTAATTGTAGCATTTTGAAATGGTATATTCAGATTAGTTTGGGTATTGATCTATGGTTAGCAGAATGGTGGCTGTAGTGCGTTCTATAGTACACAGAATGGTGACTATAATATATTGAATTTGTGAGAAATCTAAACTTAAATGTTAACTTACAATACACACATGACGCTTATTAAAAAAATGAATTGAATGAAAGTGGCAGGATGTATTTGGTTTATATCAAAAGTTGTATGCATGTACATATGCTAAAAACTAAAATAAAAGGCAAGTAAAAAAATATATCACATAAACATGTACACTACAAACTAAAATGAAAGGCAAGTTCGTAATTGCAACACATATTACTTGGACTTATTTTACTAAGATGTAATAAATACCCACATATATATCACCCTAGTTCCTCTAAATAATTGGCAAGTTAAAAAGAAACAACTAAAATGTCATATACAGTGTGTACGTAAACATGACTAAAATGAAAGGCAAGTTAAGAATATATAAACATGTACAATAAAAACTAAGGCACTGAGTTGCAGCACAGAAATGTTCTAAAACATTGTATAAACATGTACAATGAAGTTCAAGTCAAAGAGGTTGTATGTGAGTTCGAAGAGGAGCAGAAAAGACAAGCCTTGTTGCTCAGTTTTGGAGTCTCTGAAGGCGATCAAGGTCCCTCTGGCTGAGAACACTGAAGACCCAACCCTTTCTATACTGTTTACATGATTTTGATAGACCTTCTGTGTCAAACAATCTCCCCTGTATCGATCGGTATCACTACCCCCACCCCATGATTCGATGTGTAACCTCGTCTATGCCATGTTCCATCGTAGGGCACTGCCACGTCCACATAATCATTTTCCCCGATGGTCAGATCCTTGTCCATGGCCCTTTGACGTAGGCATGCTGCCACCTTCTTCTTCTGATCCTTACTGGTCTGCAAAAAAAAAAGAGTTTGTAATAAATAACAAGTAAATTTCAAGTTCCCTCAGGCCCCTTACTTATTAGACCCTATTACAAATATTTAGATTTGATTAATTTTCATCCCTTGATTTGACAAGAAGGGATATTGATGTACATGTACTATACTGTCTATCGACCATAACTAAAAAATAAAAATATGTTTTGATTTAATGTACGTACAGCTAAGATAATGTAATGAAGAAAACACAAGGCTGGTGATTTACCTCTTGGGATAAGGAAGATAAAGTGGCTATGTGCCTGTTGTAGCTAGGGGCTTCGACTAGTGGGGCTGTTCCGAGGATGGTCAGCAAGTCGCACAAGCTATCCCGTGCCAAACAACCTCCGTTGCTGCCAGAGTAGCTCTGCGGTTTATTTCTGCAGACTTTTCACGTCCTTCGCATTCATTTTCTGATGAAGAGAATGTCCTCTCCTTCTTGCAAATGAAGCAACCAATGACCATGTCGCAGTTCAACCCATTCCTCTTTGACAAATTCTCGAGAGGAATGAGATGCCCTGTAAAAGATATCCAAAACACTTTATGGAACAGGGAAAATATTTTGAAAAGCACAATCCCCAAATAATAACAAAGTGCTAGTTATGACATACAATTGTGGTATATTACACAAATACACATTTTCACAGATTTCACGACAAACCGCTGCACAATACAAGTGCATACCGATGATGGGTTGCGGGCGGGCGCGCGCCTGTGTGAAGTTATCTACCGTAATGTCTCGGATCCTCATTACGGTAGATAACTTCACACAGGCGTGCGCCCGCCCGCAACCCACCATTGGTATGCACTTGTATTGTGCAGCAGTTTGACGTGAAACCTGTGAAAAAGTGTACTAATATCAATGTTTTTCCACAAAATTCTCCAAAAATAACAAGAAAATCGGCATGATTGTGTGCATTTGTGTATTGAGAGTGTATTGACTATTTATGTGAGCAAATGCTACCTTTTAACGCGTAGTGCAGGGCTTAAGGTCAATACGCAAAAGCATTGACTCTCTTATTCTCTATGCTTTGCTGGAGTAGTCTTTAGACCCCATCCTTATGTTTGTACATTCCGATGCCCCCACTTAGATTCACCATAGAGTAAAAGGAGGGGTTTTTCTTGTTCAAATCATGAAGCAAATACTATTATTATTCAAACAAAGAAAGAATCCCAGAAAAAAATCATGAATTGCCATGACAACATTCATTTCCATTTTCACTGTTTCGGAGGTAGTTTTCGGCCTAGCGAGGCCCTTTTCGGCCGCATGTACAAAGTCAATAGGAAGCAAGCAAGCGCGCCATGCGTTTCCCCACTGATCTATAGCGGCCGGAGCAGGTATCCCAAGCTGGAGCTTCCCGTGCCGAAAACTACCTCTGCGGTGATCAGAAATTGGAATCTGAATTAGAGATATCGTGTGTGCGCTGCGGTATCCGGCTGCATTGATTAAATACATGCGATGAAATACTTTTGAGCTTGCGAATCACACAAAATCGGACTCTAAATCTGAAAAATACTTGAAATAAAGCTCATTTTATGGTACCCATATTCCTTACACGCGTAAGATACTTAATTTTTCAGATTCGGGGAGCGGGACCGCCGATTACATCTCTAAAATGTGATATTCTAGAATATATTTTCCATTGCAAATGTGGTTCTTCGAGTGACTCTGGCATGGTATGGTATGTGTGGGATATATGATATGATGTTATGCGATGTATTTTAAAGGGATTTTACCATGCATCCAACGGATCGGCCGAAAACTGGTGATGGTCGATTACCCCCTCCTTTACTCTATTCTTAATCATTTGATTTGGCTTTTTGAGCCATTCACCCCTTGAGCATGCGATACAATCTCAAAGTAACAGTTTGCAAACTAAAAATATTGTTTGATAGTAAGTACATACCTCCCAGACACACGTGAGCCTTTTGCAAAGCAGCTGCAAGTTGTGGGTCACTAAAGACGCGGATCTTCACATGTGGGACCAGGGCCAAAAATAGGGCTGTCCAAACGCTTATTCAGGGAAAGCTTCCTCGATCTCTGAATTAGCTGTTAGTTCTTCTGGCACCTCTCCAGCGTTCATGTTACTCTTCTGTAATACCTGGTATTGATCTCCTTTGAACACCTTCCTCTTCCTCACATATTTTGGAGTTTTGCGAAGCATTTTCAGTGAGTAGAAATTAGAGACCAACGGCTATATAGAAGAGTTATTCAAATCTTGGGCACAAGGTGGCAGCAAACAGCCCTTGTTATCTACTTTCTGCTGATATACATTACTTGTTACAATTTGGTTTAGAATTTTTTATTTAATGATTTTTTTAATTGATTGAGACTAATTGAGTGCAAACAGAGGCAGCGGAGCGACTTCCAAAGTGGGGGGGGGGGCACCAACAAAAAAGGGCCCTTTCTGGAGAAAATAAATAGGGCACCTACAAAGGGAAATCTCAAAGCGAAAATATATATTAAAAAAAAAAAAAACATTTGTATATACCCCTATATATTGTGATTACATTATCAGGGATGATTTCAATATTTTGTTTATCTTTATAAATAAGATTTGTGAGGTCGCAGTGCGAAAAATTACATCAATTATAAAGAAGAAAAACCCAATCCTGATGGGTTTATTACATTATCATAACAGAAGACTGAAAAGACCTTTGATAAGTACCATAATTTTAACATCTAGAAAAGCATGTTTGTTTTGGGTGATATTGCTCTTAGTAGCTGGAAATTAGGGGCACGTATTGAGAGGAAAAGGGGACACTTATCGAAAAGGGTGACACTTATTAGAAAAGAAAAGGAGCACATGTCAAATTACAACGGGCAATTATCAGAAGGTGAAAAGAAAAGGGGCACTTATCAGAATGAAAAAGGGGCAATAATAATAAGGGGAAATGTTCATTTGTTGTACGAAAATGGGCACCGATCAGTTTTTTAATAGGGGCATTTAATACGAGGGGAAGGGGGGATTTATGAGAAGGGGGGAAGTGGCTATTATTAAAAAGAAAAGAGGCACATGTCAAGATAAACGGGGCACTTATGAGAGATGAAAAGGGGTAATTATGGGAAGGGGATGGGGCACTTTAAGAAGGAAAAAGAGCATTTATTAGGAAGGGAAGGGGGCACGTGTCAAAATAAAAGGGGCAGTTATTGAAGATGAAAAGAGCACTTATCAGGAGGAAAAGGGACACTTGTCAAAATAAAACGAGTACCTCTCAGAATTTAATAGGGTCATTTACTAGAGATGGAACGGGACTATGAGAATGAAGAGGGACTATGAGAATGAAAAGTAACTGTTTTCATAGATGAAAAGGGGGCATTTATGATAAAGGGAAGGGGCTCTCTTTTAAATGGGGTCACTTGTTAGAAAGGAAAGAGGGAACATGTGAAAATATAAGGTGCGCTTATCCGAGTTAAACAAGGGGTAGTTATTAAAAGGGGAAAGGCCCCTCTCAGATTTGAATAGGGAAATTATCAGAGGTGAATGGGGCACTTATCAAAAGTGAAAAGGGGCACTCCTCCTATCTGAAAAAGGGCACTTATGAGAATGGAAAATGGACACTTATTGCAAAGGAAAAACGGAACTTATCGAAGGAAAAGGGGTACGTATCAAAATAAAAGAGGCACTTATCTGAGATGGAAATGGGAAGGGGCACTTTAAAAAAAATAATAGGGGCACTTTTTTAAAGTAAAGGGCCCCTTTTTATGTAAAAAGTGCCACGTTAGAGCCACCATAGAGTCACTTACCACTAGTAATATATCATAAAGTCATCATCCACCATAGAGCTACTGCTAAAATATCTTACACCACAGGGATATACCAATCAACGGAAATACCATATAATATACTCTGCCATATATCATACCGTAGAAATACCATACACCATACCCACCATATATCTACCATTCACTTTAGAGCCACCATAGAGTCACTAACCACCATAGAGTCACTAACCACCATTAATATACCATAAAGTCATCATCCACCATAGAGCTATCACTGAAATATCCTCCACCATATGGATACCATTCAACTGAAATACCATAGAAATATATTCTACCATATAACATACCGTAGAAATACCATACACCATACAGCCACCATAGAGCTACCATAGATCTACCATTCACTTAAAGCCAACATAGAGTCACATAACCACCATAGATATACCATAAAGTCATCATCCACCATAGAGCTACCACTGAAATATCCTCCACCATAGGGATACCATTCAACTGAAATACCATAGAAATATATTCTACCATATAACATACCGTAGAAATACCATACACCATACAGCCACCATAGAGCTACCATAGATCTACCATTCACTTAGAGCCACCATAGAGTCACATAACAACCATAGATATACCATAAAGTCATCATCCACCATAGAGCTACCACTGAAATATCCTCCACCATAGGAATACCATTCAACAGAAATACCATATAAATATAGTCTACCATATAATATATGATAGAAATACCATACACCATAGGACGGCATCAATGATATACCATTGACCATAGAACTCCACCATTCAGCAATTGCGCGGTATACTTCTACCATATAATATATCATAGAAATACCATTCACCATAGAGCCGTACCATAGGAATATCATAGATTTTTTTTTGTAAGGGAACTCCGGGAAGCTCCAACACCGGCGCCGCAGGCGTCCGACGCCTGCGGCGCCGGTGTTGGAGCTTCCCAGATTTAGTCATAAAATAATGATATTACACTGTATCACAGACATAGTTATAAATAACACATAGATCTAGGGCCATGAATGATTGCATCTCAGAGTCAGACTTAACATTGTTAAACGATCCCTTGCATTGGATTTAAGTAATAGATCTATCATGATTTGTAGATCTAGATCTAGATCTGGTGCGTGCTTGCCTAGGCTATAGTAGACCTACATCGAATTTAATCAGCTCAGCTCAGCTCAGCTCAGTTTGCGTCTAGATCTTGTCGACGATTACGAGTGTGCTATTGCAATGGACTCTGTCAGTCTTTGTTGACTCAGCTTGAGAAATTGAGTGTGCTAGTACGTAGGCCTACTAATAAAAGTATGTCTAGATCTATTATCTAGATCAATTACATTACTCAATAGATATTACAACATGGAAATGAATGTATGGGAAATGCATTGAGTGCATCTAGACCATTAATTGCATAGATCTAGTCTACCGGGTAATTTTTCCGCTGTGCAATTACTTTTATCCCTATCTTGTCAAACATAAAATACAAATACAAATACAAATAGATCTCGAGCATAATATGAAGTTAAAGCTACCATTTTCACAGAAATCATCGTAAAAACGTCTCGTCATAATAATCGATCTTCAATCAAGATAGGGCTGGTTTTGTTTACTAAGCGCCCGCCAGGAGAGTACACGATAGGGTACACGATAGAGTACACGATAAAATTGACGATATCGTGAACTTTATCGTGAACTT